TTTTTAAAACTCTTCTATATTGATCCCCTCTTTGGTTTTCCTGCAATCACTGAGACAGAAGCAGTGTTAGATTGAGGCCATTTTCTCAATTATTGCCAAGTGTAAATTGGTCTTTGAGTTGCAGAGGAAGAGCATTGAAAGTTACTTTGTCTTTGATTTTCCTTCTTTCTTTTCTCAAGATCAATATTTGTTTCTACACATGTGTAGGACTTTCTTCATGATCTGAGGCATATTCATGCGTAGACGTATCATTTTCAGAGAGCTCTATGACAAACACCTTTTTATAAAGAGACTCATTTTCAGAAGGCTCTGTGATGTGTTTTGGAAAAAATTCAAGAGCCTCTGAGGATAACTTTCTCTCAAGAGGATGAATAGTACACACAAAAGCACAGTTTATTTGAGTTTCTGGTTGTCCAAACTTAAAAATTCCTATCTGACTCTGTCTCATAAATCTCCTTGGAATGGAATCATTCTTTTTAGAAGGTGAGAAAGAGTCAATATAGTCTTCAAAAGCAACATTTTCCATTGTTAAACAAGTTTCTGTGTCTGGAGCAACCAACAGCCTTCTTCTTTTGAAAATTGACTTTGTGTTAGGAATATTAATTTTAAGATTCTTTGAGGATCTAAAGGTACTCTCAAGAGTTTTGCTGGATTTAAAACCAGGTTTGTTCTCAAATTCTGAGAACCCCAGACCTCTTCTGCCCATATTAACTTTTATCTTTTTATAAACATTTTGAGCCTCTTGAAACTTTCTAATTTTGAGCTCTCTGTCAAGAACATCTTGGTGCAAAAATTCTCTTTCTTTTTGGAAGAATTCTTTGACAGAAGTAACATTGCATTTCTCATGCTCCAACTTCCTTATCTCCTCAACCTTGTTTTTCAACTCCTTTTGAATTTCGGCAACCTTTCTTTTGAAGATTTTTCCAAATTTACATAATTTGTTTGAGCTTCTTCGAACATTTTAAAAAATCTATTTCCTTCCTCTGTGAGAAGAATGACTTCTTTTTCACAAAGAGAAAGTTTTTCTTTTAGCTTGTAATGTTCCAAATAATACGAATCAAGATTATCAATGATCTCTGTGTATAGATCAATTGATTCAGAAGAGTAGGAAGTAGAAACCTCTTGGTCATTTGATTCAGAGGAGTCAGAGTCGATCTTTACCATTCCACAGAAGAACTCATCCTCTGTGTCTGAGTCTTCCCAAGCAAGAAGACCCTTCTGATCATCTTCGTCAGAGGATTCATCAGTTACTAACTCACTAGATTGAGCTAGTAGAGACTTATGTTGATAATAGTCAGTCTTCTTTTTGTAGAAGGCTGCATCTCTTGGACCCCTCTGAGGAGCCTTAGGCCCTTTTGACCAACAATTTGCAGCAAAGTGGCCTGGCTTGCCACATCTAAAGCATCCTTCTCTCGTCTCTTCCTTCTTCTGCTCCTCTACCTTCTATGAAGGCTTCTGCTCCTTCTCACTTGCATCAGATCTACCACCCTCTGTGATGTTTGTTCTGTTGACATTCTTGTACTCCTTCTTTTCACCACTCTTTCTATATTCTCTGGTGATCAAAGCCAGAGTCTTCATCATCTCTTTCATCGTGACTTCTTCTTCAGA